GCCACTTTGGAAATCAGTATGGAGAGGAAAATGGAAATCAGTTTACCACAAAATCCAGCAATTCCACTCTTAGGCATATATCCAAAAATGTACATTCATACAACAAGGATGTCTGTTCCACTATGTTCATAGTAGCATTATTTGTAATAGCCAGAACCTGGAAGCAACCTAGGTGCCCCTCAACTCAAGAGTGGATAGAGAAAATGTGGTACATTTACACAAAGGAGTACTATTCAATGGAATAAAACAATGGAATCTTGAAATTTTCAGGGAAATGGATGGCACTAGAAGAAACTATCCTGAGTGAGGTAACCCAGTCACAAAAAGAGAAACATTGTATGTATTCACTCATTTATGGATTTTAGACATGAATCAGGGGAGTACCAGCCTACAATCCCACTGCCAGAGAGTCTGGGAAACAGAACCTTCATCCAGCGATTGATGAAAGCAGAGGCAGATACCCACAGACAATCACTTAACTGAACTCCTGGAATCCAGTGTCAGAAAGAGAGAACTGATGGGCAAAGGAGTTAAGACTGGGCTGGTTTAACCCACAGAAACAGTTGACCTGAACAGGGGGAAGCTTTTAGACCCCAGATTGATGGCTGTGTGGAAAGCATGAGACTGACACAGACCCCTGACTGTGGGTGTCAGTGAGGAGGCCCAGGTAATCTATGGGGCCTTGGGTAGTATTTATCCCTGGTGTACAAATACACTTTGAGTGCCCATGCCACAATATGGGAGGCTCTCTCAGCCGGGACTCTTGGGTGCGGGCCTAGGCCCTGCCCTGGATGAAATGACAGTCACTTGAGATCCATCATGGAGCCTCACTCTCCCTGGGGATAGGAGTGGAGATTGGGTGGGGGACTGGGGGAGGGGAGGGAGAGGGAGCTGGGATTGACATGTGAAACAAGATTGTTTCTAGCTTAAATAAAAAAGAGAGAGAGAGAAAGATTAGGACAGCCCCAACAATCCAGCTAAGAGCACTAGAGGGGGAGAGACACAGAAGGTTCAGCAGAAAGTTAAGAACTCGGAGACACTGTCTGATCACATTCTGAGTGTTGATGGGAAGAACAGTCAAGACGTGAGTGGAGCGATGCGGAACGCCTGATGGTTTCCTCCTGCGGCGGCACCTGGGTTGCTATAGCTTGGATACTAAACATCTCTCAAATGTCCACATATTAGCAGAGAGAGTCTTGGTCCACATGGAGCCCAGGTCTTACTCTACAAGACAGCAATAATAGAGAAGCAATAAAGTCTTTAAAAAGTGTGACCTTGTCTGAGGTCTTTAGATTACTAGAGATGTATCCTTAAAGCTGAGAGTGGGGTGATGATCCTCTGATCTTCTTCACTTTTTGTCCCTGTCCATGAAGTGAGTCCTGGTGTATCCCAGCTGCTTCCTACATGCATAGGATCATTTGGTGATGGAGGCGATGGACCATGGAATGGAAGTTTCCCACTATAAGCCAAATGCATCTTACTCAGAATCATAATCAGGAAGGAAGAGATCTTCAGTGCATTGGAGGCAGAGAACATAATAGAATATATGTGCAGAGAAAAAATAACAGGGAGAAGAAAACCATCTGGAAGTAGGGAGAGCTTTGGGGAAAAATGAATAAATACAAACAAAATATAATGACCCACATTTGTGAAGATGCTTCCATGAAACCTATAAGTTTGCATACTGAATTTAAAAATTAGTAGAACTGGGAGTATAGCCCTTGGCCTGATATCCTGGATGCGAAGGGCAGCACCACACAAATCATATGTAGCGACTGATATTTGTGATCCCAGCACGTCTAAGGTGAAGAAATAAGGATGAACAAATTCAAAGCCAGTCTGTGATACTGTCTCAAATTCAAAAGGGAAAAAAATTCAATAAAGTAAAATAACACTAAAAGCATCTTTATCTTTATAACTAGATTATTTCTGGTATTTTGATATATGATAGAAAGATAACCAGCCCTAAGGAGAGTCAATATGACCATTTTTATGTCCCCCAGGAGTGGTCTTTTTATTGGCAATGCTAGAAACTGAACCCAGATAATCAATGTTCTTGAAGATGATAGTCAAATATGAAAGATAATACATAGATATCTATGAAAGTATAGCTATAAGATGTTAACACATCCAAGGAAGACAGACATTCTATCCTCGAAAGAACATGGACAAAGAAGAGAAATTTTACAAATAGAGACAGCTGGCACTTTTGCTGTTAAAATATTCCAATTTTTAAAGTGTCCAGGAGCATGGGCAGGCACCAAGTAAAAGGCTCCAGAGAAGAGAACAGGGACCTAATGCTTCAGACCACACCTGTGTCACGTGTTGAGACCCTTTATAGAGGATGAAAAAGCATCAGTAAATGGTGACTTTTCCAAGACCACTCAGAGAAGTAGGAAATAATGTCACAAGACATTTCACAAGGGTGGTCTCTAACACAGCTCACGTTCTCCTCCCACCATGGTCTCTGTTGCTTAGACTGTGCTGGTAAGAAGCTGAATAGACACCATGACAAGAGAAAAACGCCAGCATGAAGAACACTCAGCTTCTGAATGCTGAGGAATCATAGGGCTGGAAGTGACCCGGACGCCAGGATTCATGTATCCCAGGAAACAACATCCTCTGGCAGTTACTGTCCTCCTGACGGTTTTGAGCCAGGCAGACCACCAGCCAAGTGCACCACATAAGTGCTCATGAATCCATGGAAAGCTTTCCTTTCAAGTTCCGCCTGTAGGCTCCGCGTTGTCAAGAGAGAGGGCGCGTTGGAACGTGTGCCTCTTTCTTACTGATGAACAGCTGCAGATGACAGAAACACAGAACCCAGAAGTCTCTGTCCCTCGGCCCCTCAGGTCGGTTCTGGTAGAAGCTGATTATACGGCTCTCTTACTTAATAAGAGCCAGTGGGAAGAAACAAAACAGTTTCATTTCTCCAACTAGTTTCATCGAGGATTCCTCAAAGCACCATCTCATCCATCTTGATGCAATTTTGCATTCACTATAGATTGGAAATGGGAAGTCATTTTTCATAAGGCTGATCTTTAGCTAAAAGACGGACGTGTTAACATCCTGTAAAATTGCACATTCATTACCTGACCCTTCCAGCCCCACTACCCTGTGCATTTCCATTCATCACAGCCTGATTCCTGATGGCCCAGAAGATCTCCCAGTGGGACCACCAAACAGGAAGTGGTCAAGGTCACTACTTTCCAGTTTTTCAAAAATAGCTTCAAGACCATTGTTCCCTGAGAGGAGATGCCTTTTACCAGGATGACCTCCTAATATATCATTCAAATGCTTTTCTAATCGGAACTACTTCTGAGAGTAAAAGACGGTTTTATTAATAATCACATCAATTCAGTAGATATAAATCAAACTTGAGAACAGCCAAGAAGTATGTTCATGCTACCTCTTCACTGTAGCTTCAAAAGTGTGCCAGCAGGGTGTGTGTGTGTGTGTGTGTGCATATTGCTTGTATTTGTGGAGGCTCTAGGCTTATATCAGCAGGCATTGAATCTAAGACCATTAATTTGGGAGGAGCAAGGGGAACGCAAAATAGATTAGAGGAAACAGAGGGGGTGAAAATAACACAATTATATTATAATTAAAGGTAAACCTTTCCCAATGCCATAAGCACTTTGCATGACCTTTGTAATATGTGCTATCATTATACACATTTCATACAATACATGTGAGCGTTTACAGTATTATTCATTCATTATATGTTCACAAGTAACATATATCGGTCAATGACGACAGAATCCCAGCTCACCTTTTTCTTTCCTCCCTCAGAGATTTGAACAGTTGACTTGTAAGAGGCCTAGGCATTCAGAACTTGCTGAAGTTCTTTCCCGAATGTGGAAGTCATGTAAGTCCCAGAACTATAGAAATTACAACTGCAAATGAGTTCCAGTATAGCTCACTTCCTGTATCACACGAAATTACATGATGATTTGACTAACTAAATGAGATGATGTATGGGATCCTGTTAGAAACTCATCTGATGTTCTCAAAACGTGGTAAAGAACCAACCGTCAATATCAGATATTCAGAGCCCTACAAATGTTGGAAGTAGGAGGAGATAATCACTCATGCTTATGTGTGTTAGGCAGCATCCAAGGACCCTTATACAAGCTCCCAGAAGTTTGTAATTATGTGTTATTTTGGCTACTTTTTTATTGTGCATAATATAACGCACATCATTTCTACCCCTTTCCACCTCAAACTGTTCACATGTCCCTCTCAAATTCATTACCTGTAACTATTATTACTTTTCACATGCATACACACACAACCTACTGAGTCCATCTAATGTTGTTCATATGTATGTACTTAAGGCTAATCACATGACTTTGGATAACCAATCAAGAAGATAACCTATCTTACCCCTGAAGAAGCCTGGTTCTCCCTCTCTCAGCAGCTATAGACAGCCTGCAGCTCTTCATCTAGGGGTGGGGCCTCGTAAGATACCCACCCACATTAGCACACCAACTGGTACTGTCACTGTGCGGGTCTTGTTTAGTCAATCATGTCACTGAGATTTCCTGGATATGGCTTCCTGCTCATACAGAGAAGACACCGCCTTCTAGCAGAGTCTTCATCCTCTGGCTCTTACGACCTTTCCACATCCTCTTCCTCAATGGTCCCTGGACCTCAGGCATAGGGAGTGCATTGTAAATTTACCACCTGTGGTTAGGTGCCCTGCAGTTAGCTGTTCTCTGTATTTTGGCCATTTGTAGATTTCTGCAGTGATCCCCATCTGCTAAAGAAAGGAGCCTGGACACAGGTCCTGCCCTGGATGAAATGACAGACTCCGGAGATCCCCCCATGGAGGGCCTCACCCTTCATGGGGAATGGTGTGGGGAGTCGGAAGGGGGCTGGAAGGGGGCTGGATAAGGGAGGAGGGGTGGGAAAGGGAACTGGGATTTACATGTGAAGCATGCATGTTTCTAATTTAAATAAAAAATACATTGAGAAAAAAAGAAAGGAGAGTTACACTTATCTGTGTGCATGATGATGAAGAATGTATAATTCAGCTAGAAATTATACTGATCTAGAGAAGTGACAGTAGTAGGTTCTCCTGTAGGGTCCATGACATCATTAGCCACAGACAGTTGGCTAGGTTTACAGTAGCAGACATGATTTTCCTCCTTAAGTGGCTCCAAAGTCCAATTAGCTGTTGGCAAATTCCAAGATATAAGTGTCACTACTGCATATTTGGAGATGTCTTCATGGGTCATTGTTGTAGTCCATGGGTTTTACAGCTTGGTAGAATTATTGTTTTTCTCTTTAGATAGCTTGCATGGCACCTTCTCATATCACACCATGGAGGCTAGTCCTCAGGGAGGAGGCTTCCAGGTCGTCCAGCTCAATTCCCCCAAGTATAATAGATAGCTTGCACGGCACTTTCTCATATCACACTATGAAGGCTAGTCCTCAGGGAGGAGGCTTCCAGGTCGGTTCCAGCTCAATTCCCCCAAGTATAATAGAGATCATAAAATAGCTCACTGAAAACTACTAATGTTGCGGTGGATGGAAAATAGAGGACGCATGATGGGTACCAAAGTTACAGCAGAGAAGTCTAATGTTCTGTTGCATGGTGAAGGAACTGCACTATACAGCAATTTATTGTGCCTTTTACATTAATTAGAATAGAGTCAGTTGAGGATTTCCAACACACAGTAATGACAATATTTCAGGAGGCAGAAATAGTCACTACCTTGGTTTGATCATCACACATTATACACCTCTGCTGAGTTGTATTGCTATACTCCATTTAAAAATACAAATATTACTATCAGTCTAAAATTAAAATTTTTAATTAAAAAAGATTTATACTGTTAAATAGTTAAACAGATCAATTAAATCATGCTGCAGTCCCAATTCAACAACCCAGCCTTTCTCTTTTTGTTATGGATAATTGCTGCTATGCATTGACACCCATACCAAAGGTATGATATCAATAGAAAATTTTAAATACAATAAAATCACCAAATACATTACAGTTTCAGGAGGAGGATAAAAAGGAATTTAAAATTTAAAGGTACAAAATTATCTATGTAAAATAAACGCTTTATGTTAGAGTCATAAAAGTGGACGTCTCCTGGTGGCATCACATTCTCTGGCATCAGACACTGATAATGAAGTTTGCTTTATTGAGTTCTTTGCAGCATCCCTCACAAGAGGAATCACCCATCTTTGCTCCATCCTTCTAAAAGTATCACCCCTGTGTATCAGATCAAAGGAAAGAAATTGGTTCTGCAGCTCAAGAAATCTACTAATCAGAGACGGATGAGATGAGAGGCCATTGGAGAAGAAACTAAATTAAATGATCTCCACAGAGTCCTTGTGGGTTTCTAGAAAATCTTTCAATAAATGCAGCTGGAATTTCATCCCAGCTCAAAAGCTTTCAATGTATGTCCCAAGTTCTTTAGCCATATTCTCTTTCTCTTTTCTTTAACTACCGGCACCAAATATCAGAGTCTTAGAATACGAGAAACAGCCTCTGCTTTCTGTGTCTTTCTCACTCGCTCTCGTTCCCTCCGCAAGCCTGTTTCAGTGCCTCATTCTGCAGACACGTTTCCTTGCAGTTAGTTCCCTATTGAAATGAGTGTTTCCATGTGACAGTGTTTGACCATGAATGTCACCAGGCCACTAAGATTTAAGGCATGTTGCTGACTCATAATTGGCCCCCAGAATATCACTGCTCTTTCCCAATGTATTACAAACCCAGGGAGGGCTTCAGTCTGTGGATGAGCAGTGTCAGAGGTGGCTGATATTTTGCAGAGTTAAAGCAGACAGATCCTTAAGCCTGTCCCCGATGTCCCTGAAGTGTCCATCTGCCAAGGGCAGGTATACAACAATAACAATAACACTCTTTTCTTCCCAAAGCATGATGAACTCCATCTCACCTTATCAGCTGGTCTTTTCCTACAGACCATGCAGAAAATAGGTAAATAACAGGACTTGGAGTCCACTAATACCCTCCAGTTCAATTCCATTTCTATACTTTCTTAGCAATTAGTATCATGATTAACTGGAAAGGCTATTTAAATTCATTGAACATCCATGTTTTCTAGAATGCACTGTTTATGTACAGGAAAAACAACAACAAGGAGTGCAAGGCTATTTAATTACAAAAACCTAACTATCATCATCTCTACTTTGTGTGCCTGGTAGAACAAACTCTCCAAGGTGGTTGGAAAAATGATGCAGTTTGGTCTCCATGAGTCTTTTGGGAGAAGAGAAAGATGATGCCATTGGGGCAGGGCCTATGCTCACCTCCATAATGAATCATAATGAAAGCAGCTTTCTATGCTCAATAAGTGTAAGAAAGCCTGAGTTACTGTGCTAATCCTAGAATAGGAAGGAGGGGGTCCAGACACAAACAAAAGAAAGGAGGAAAGATCGGTGAGTGCATGTGCACGTGAGGTATGGAAGACAGGGGCACCCTTCTGTGGAAAGGTTAATAATGTAAGTCCTACACAGGAACACTCAGAAATGGTCAGCCAAAGTGAGGGGGCTTCAGAAATTTGGTCAAATCAAGTCAACTATATGTTCCTGGTGAAGGGATGTTCTTCCTTCAGGGAAAGCTTACCTTAGCTAGACATAGCCACCAGGAAGGAGCTACTGAAGGGGTGCTGTCCACTGAGAAGTTCCCAGTTGGATCTGATGTTCAATTTTCAGGGATTCCATTCTTTGTTTGCCCTTATTCACACAAAACTCTCTCTTGCAATGAAATGCTTGCCATTGGTGTTAGTGACGTGGTGGGATATTACAAGGAGGTACATAGTGACTCCACAGATTGGACCTGAAGTAACAAAAGATGACAGACAGCCCCTGTAGATTTAAAAGAGAAGAGAGAAAAAACAGAGTGAGAAAGAGACAGGAAAGGAAAGGCAGAATTAAATGAATATAAAAATAGGTAACACAAGCCAGGCGTTGGTAGCACACGCCTTTAATCCCAGCACTTGGGAGGCAGAGGCAGGCAGATCTCTGTGAGTTCAAGACCAGCCTGGTCTACAAGAGCTAGTTCCAGGACAGCCTCCAAAACAATACAGAGAAATCCTGTCTCGTAAAAAAAATAATAATAATAATACCAGAGCTAGACAGATTGAGCTGGAAGGCACAACTGTACCATAAACGATGCTCCCACCACCCAAATGCACAATCCAGGTCCATGGAGACACAGAGGAGAGTCTTGGAATGCCCACACAGATGAGCAAGGCTGAGGCATTTCTGGATATTAAAGAAGGGAGCTTTGCCAGGCAGTGGTGGTGCACGCCTTTGATCCCAGCACTCGGGAGGCAGAGGAAGGTGGATGTCTGTGAATTTGGGGCCATCCTGGTCTACAGAGGGAGTTTCAGCACAGCCAGGGCTGTTACTGAGGGAAACTTTGTCTCAGAAAAAAAAACGACAAAAAACAAATGGAGCTTTGAGGGTTTCTGGTTAAGATGCTTCACAAGATGGCAGTGAGAATTAAGTGTCTTCAAGTGACTAAAGCTCCCAACTTGAAGCCCCTTCCAATTCCAGAGCTCTTCCCATATCTCTTCCCATATCCATATCCATATCCATATCTTATTTCATTCACTCTATGTGATATTTGCTCCCTTTTTCTGGACTGAAAAATCTGGGGAGTAAAATTATTCAAACAAGAAATTAGTGATTTCTTAATCAGCTACTTGGTTTCTTCCTAGAGATATTTTGAGGAGAAAATTATTCCTAAAGATATCAAATTAATTAAGTATCCAAGAAATAATACTATGTAATTTATACAATTTCATACTATGACATTATATATTTCAAGAAGAATTATTAACTGATTGAGAATAATTAACAATTGTAAAGTTGTTCACAGATTACAATCAGCTCATTCTTTTAGCCTATTTACAACTATTTGATTATCAGTCCAGTGAAGTCCAAATATCATCTGTGTGGCTCAGTCCTAGGGCTTTACCTGAGGCTTTTATGACATTAAGGAAGCATCTTTTCTCTAGGTACAACTACTCTTAGATTTTTATCCCCTAGCCTCCGGAGCTTAATGGAAACTACAGTGAAAAGTATACACAGAGAGAGACAGAAACAGAGATAAAGAGAGAGAAATACACACAGAAGAGGACAGAGAGAGCCAGAACTGTGTGCTTTGGGTGCCTACACTGGTTTGAGCTTCACCTGTAAAAGTATCTCCTTTTGCATGCTCCAAACCTCTGATGCCCTTACGTGTGTGAATGCTGAACCCCTCACACGAGGGATCTATCTGTAGGTGTGAAATCACAGAGCAGCAATTTACCTGGGGGGACACATAGAATTTCCTTTCAAGGGGCATTGCTTCTAGGACTTTTGTTCCATCTTCTAGAGGTGAAAGTTCCATCATGAGTGAAATCCATCACGGTTCCACAGATATCCACTACAATCAATGCAGGTTTCAGCTCTCCCATGTAGAACTGTGAGAAAAGAGATTTCTGTTTGCTCTGTTAGAGGGCTTCAGAAGAGCAATACAAAAGCAAGCAGCTAAGCTTTTCAGAGCTGTGCAGAAATCAGAGAAATCCTTTATATGATAGAGGGGGTTCCACCAGGCTCAAAAATGCCATGCCCTCATGCTGAGCTGCTAAAAAGAAATTGCGAAGCTAATGTGGTCTTTTCTGCTTTGCAGGATGCTGTCAGTATATCTGACCCAATCTTTTTCCTTCTTCTAAAAGAAGATGAAGAAACAGGCTCCCTGTGCAAATACCAATTCCCTTTTTACCACAGTCTATGAATCTCAGCATGCTCTGGGTGGCCCTAGCTTTTCCATCTAACAGAAGAGAATTTTGATGAGCAGGCTACAAGGTACTACTTACCGTAGTAACTCACTCCCTCATCTGCTTGAACATCCAAACAAATTAGTCTCATCTCAATGCACATGACTCTATGATGGTTGGATGATTTTGTCATGAAGCAGCTGCATAAACATGGAAACATCTACAAACAGATTTTTAAAGATTTTTTTCTTCATTTGAGTTCATCAGGATACTAATTTGGGCCATACACTCAAACGTCAGGCAGAGTCAGTGATGTGTATAAAAACTGAAAAAAATTAAAAGAGTTGTTCTATAAATAATCAGGAAATAGGTGAGAGAAGCATATTACATTTTATATATATGTACACATTATATATGTGTATTTATAGATATATACACACACTTTCCTCTCTGATCTCCCACTGGCACATGTGAATAAACATATACCACAATGCATGTAAGTTTATCTGCATGAGTCTGTGTATACTATGTGTATAAAGTGAGGGAGGTCATGTAGAACGGCATAGCTCAGGGCATTTGGAATGTGTGTGGGCAATGAGGGTAATGGGCATGGGGAGCCATCAGAGAAAGCAAACCTGTGTGGGTCTAAATGTAAACTACAGAACAGGGGAAGCATGTAAAGGTGTAGATGTGAGTGCATGCCTGTTCACACAGGGGTGTGTGTGTGTGTGTGTGAGTGTGAGTGTGTGTGTGTGTGTGGGCTACATGTATACATGAGGCACGGGTATGATGTGAAAACATGTGGGTATGATATATAGGATCAGAGTCATGTGCCTATTTGCTCAGTGTGACCCATGCAAGCCTCCATACAAGCCATACCTTCCTTTGGCCTTGAGTGCCCAATTCCAGACCCTGATAAAGGATGGCAGGAACAACTTCTCCCAGGGCTCTTGCAGGTCAAAAGATGTGTCCCTGCCTGCCTCAGCATTCAAGCCTCTGGAGCTGCTCCAGGGTGTGAGCCCCAAATGGAACTCCACACCTGGGTCTCTTTTCCTGGCACTTGAAGGACTGATTGGCTATGATTTATATGGCCACAGAACTTCATCCCTCTCCCCTCCCCCCACCCCAGCTTGGACTGACCAAGGAAAATAAATCTGGGTCAGAGTTTCTGCTGATAAATCATCATCATCACCATTGTCACCACCCTTGTTTTCATTCTTATAGATGACACTCAGATCTTCTCATGCAGCATCTTATTGTAGTGCTGCACCACAAAGAGCAAACAACACATTGTCCACTTGCCAAGGTTAGTGCTACAGCATAAAACACAGTTATTTCATGAATTAAAGAAAAAACTGTTCAAAAATCTCAGACTGAAGACAATCCAAGACTTTCAAATCAGCATGCAAACTCTATCTCTTGACCAAAGTCAGACCATTCAACAATCTCCTATATTTCTGTTGTTGTAAGGAAATCCTTTTCTCTTTGTGGAAATTCTTTTATTTCAGCTCAACAGCTTCAATTTCTGAACCCTTTCTACCACTTTCCCAAAACACAAAATTGTATGTCTATGTCCCTCTAGATTGCTTCAAAGCAGTCTCTCTGTGTGTCAGAAAAGTCTCCATTGCGATGTGACTCCTGATATAATAACCACCCTGTGTTCTGTTTTTTTCTGGATGGCACCCCACAGAGAGCAATTTGTTCCACCATTTGTCTCAGGGACACAGCTGACATTTTCACAGGCTTCCCCATTTCCATTTCACAAATCTCCATTCCCAGGAATGCAAAATGGGGATTTCTCAAGGACAGCAAAAGCCAGCAGCAATGGGATAATTTACATGCGAAGACACTGCTAGAGTGCCAAGCCCTTAATAGGAGTGGAACCAATAGCATCTCACGGTTTCACATGGTATTTGTTTCAAGGAAAAAAGAAAGGAAAATGTCTGCCAGGGAGCAGGCTGCCTCAGTCTGGGCAGGGGATTGTCTCAGGCTCTCATGGGGTGAGCAGTAGAGAGGTGGTTCAAATGAAGAGTTCACTTCCGCTTTTGGGGTCCAGTGGAGCATACACATTGCATCCTTCTGATGTGAGAACTACTGGTGTCGACTACCCACAAAGCCTGTATTTATGCCCCTCCCACTCTCTCCTGGACAAGAGAAAGAGCAGCTTTGATGCTTTGAGTCAAGACATACCATCTGTAGCACTCTGTGATGCTGGCAAACAAAAGATTGGCACCAGATGCATCGGAACCCAGGGGATCATGCTGTCCATCCATCCACTCATCAACACAGCAATAGTGGACCAGGAGGCTGGTCCTTAGAGTAGGGGATCCAGACACAAGTACACTCTACATGCTCAAGACATTCATACTCCTTAGGCAAATCCACAGGAAATGGCCAGAGAAGTAAGTGTCTTAACTGCAGCAAAGAGGACCGAGCAACCAAGCATTGGCCAGAGCCTAGATGGAAGCACCTGGCAATGCTAGGGAACCGGGCTCTTTTTTGAGGTCATGACACTTGAGCTGTGTCATGATAGATAGGAAGGAGCTGTCCACACATTTGGAGACATGCCTGCATGTGCAGAATGAGTGGCCTAGTATTTCTACCTACATGGCCACCAAAGAGGGCAGGGGCTAGAGCGCTGGGAATGTCAAGGCAAACATTTCCCACACTGAGGGGAGCCCTGGCAGAAGGCTGGCTTTCCAAGAGTCCTCCGTGGACCTCCTGGCATATCCATTCTAACTCCTCACACCAGGCATGCATTTCACTTTCTCATGCGAGAACGCCAAAAGAGATTACAGTCTGGTTTGTTGTTAGTTTTGTAGAAAGTCCCCACCCCCACCCCTCTGAGCCTACTGGTGCCATTCTTAAGGAAGTACAGCTGCATGCTTCAGGTTGGATTTGCTGGGAAACAGAGTCACTGAAAATCTCTGTGAAATTTAGTATCCTATTTCTCTCCAAGGGATTAAGCTTCATCCTGTTTGCAGGGGCACTCGCCACTCCAACTCCATATTCTGTGTATGTCTTAAAATAGTGTTCCAATCCCAACTACAGTTTTAAAGGGACACATACCTACTTCAGACTGACTGTTGAAAACAGACAGGAACCACGGAGCTGGAACACAAGGCACAGAAACTCAGAGATACAGGGGGGAGCCCTTGCCTCTGCTTTATCAGGACATTTATTCATATATGTAATGTCTCATAGGTGCCTCTTGCTTCTGAAAGACACCATCAGTGTCATCCCTGCCCTGCTGGTGATCCACATTAAACTCTTCTCACCTCTTAAAGGACATCTCAAGTCCTCATTAACCCGAGAAACAAATAAGAACCACCCTTCCCAGAACTTTACAGTACCAGAAGTATTCAACCCTCAATTTAGGCCTAAATTATACTCTGTTCATTTTTGTTTATGAAACATTACCTTGATTTCACAAACAGCTTTCAAGCCTCCTGGTTCAGCGAAGGGAAGGGACATACTTTATAAACCACCTGTGTCTCCTACATTACTATGAGTTATTCTTTCTCACACCCTGATTTGAGACTCCCTATTGTGTCTCCCCAGGAGGACGTTCCATGGATACTAAGCCCCAATACAACAAGACGTAATCATCTTTCTGCAAAAATACAACCTTCATTTCTGATTGCCTGTTTCCCTTAAATTCTGGGTTTTTCTTTCTGTTCAGCTGTCCCTCCAGCCATAGCCAATGTTGCCATCTTCTCCCTCTCTTCCCATCTCTCACAGTCATCCCCTCTTTCCTATGATTAACGGCATCTTGTTCATACCCTGAGGATCTTCCATCAAGACAATAGTGACTATAATTAATAATAATGGATTTCGTATTTCACAATTACTAACAGGATAGGTTTCAAATGTTTCCTGATTTAAATGCAAAGTGCTTTAATATGAGGCAATGGATTTCTTAATTACCTTGATTTAGTTATTCCATAATGAAAACATACATTAGGATATAACGTTGCGTGCCATATATGTGCAATTATCATTTGTCAATTAAAAATGTAATTTGGTTTCAATAAAATGGCTCAGAAAGTAGAAGTGCTTGTGCTTAGGCCTGATGACCTGAGTTCGGTTCCTAGGTCAGATTCTACAAAGTGGCAGGAGAGAAATGACTCCTGCTGAGACCGGTCCTCTGCCCTCCAGACATGTGTCATGGCATATGCATGTCTGCATCCATGTGCCTAGGAATACCATAACTTGTATGTGTGTATGTGTGTGTGTGTGTGAAAAACATGATCTCTGGTTAGCCCTTACCTTCTGCATCAGGTCACCTGTATCATACTAAATTTCCTGTATCGTTGTATGGTTGGTGTATGTCATGCGGCTTCTCACTTTGTACTTTATAGATGCATAAATATCTTCACTGAGTGTAAACCCTCTAAATCCAAGTGCCTGTGCCTCCAGTCAAATGCCCTACTGCTTCCCAGTACATGTCTGTTATTCCAGCCTCCATGGTGCCTCTCAAGCCACACATCTATACTCAAGTCATTACTTACTAATTTTTTTTCCACTTAACATAATCGAGCTTTGTCTTCACGGTATACCTAATATGCTGTATAACCTATCAGCTGTCCCTAATGGAAGCCACAAGAATTAAGCCTTTAATTCAAGTGATTTTTGTAATGCACTTAATACGTCAAAAACACTGGACAAAGGGTAGAAGGATGAATGCAGAATCTCAATGTCCATCTAGTAAGAGGTTTGAAACAGAAACAAGAAAATTACATTGGGAGAATTGTCCTCCATGGAAATGCAAAGGAAATCACGGTTCATCATATTGAATGGGACCCTGAACAATGGAATCTACAAATAATTCAGAGCTGTTCAACTTTGGAATTGCATGAGTTACAAAAAATGCACAGGAGTTCCAAAAATATTAGTGGATAGCTCCTCAAAATTTATAAGTCTACATTTGGTTTTTCATCAGTATAATTACAACAGATCAGAAACAATGTGCTTGAAATTTCAGGGATAAATTGGTAGTAAACCTTGGGCTGCTGCACACAGTCAAATTGGCAAGACAGTGCAGGAACAAAGCCAAAATGAGAATCAGTCAGAATCAAAATTGCCTTCTGTCATTAAAGAAAGTAGGCAGCTGAGCAAACCTCTTCTGTTGTGCATCATACAAAGATATACTGCAAACAATTTTTTAAATTGTGCATATACCACACTACCACTATAAGACCCAGGAGACTTGCAGAGGATAGAGTAGAAAGAATGCAGGAGCTGGAAAATAAGAAGAGCTGCAAAATGCCGAACTCAAAGTATCATACAATCATTGCAATCCTGAACTCCCAGCAGCCATGGTTACTTGCACTGGGCCTGCACGAGCCTTGCCTTGTCAACGATTAGTTGCCATGCGTGGGACAAGGGCTCACAAAACCCCACCCCTTACTACTGAACTATTGGCTACCGATAGATTCTGGGAAAAGGAGAGTCATTGTCTTTAGTTGCATAGCCACTGCTGAGCCCACCAGGCCCCCGTGGATAATTCAAAATTCACAGCCACACAGACAGCCCTGGTTAAACTCAGTGGCTCACCAAATAAAACAAATAGACTGTAGTATGAGGAAGAAGGGGCATAGACAGGGTTGGTCATTACTGTCATGATAAAGCATGAGAGGCAAGGTTGACCTAGGCAGGGGACAAACATGCCAGACAGACAGAGCTTAAGTGAGAACTTTTATTAGAAAGGGAAAGTGGGGGAAGGAAAGAGAAAAGAGGTAAAGAGACAGACAGAGACATAGAGAGAGGACAGAAGAGGGAGATGGGAAAAGTCCTGTCTGCCCCCGGGGAACAGTGGGAAAGAGAATGTAAGTGGATGGGGGTCTTTTTTTCTAAGGGGTCCTCTGCATCTTTGTGTAAACTATTACTCAAGGAACCCTGGGCTGACCAGAGTACTGCCTGAGTGTATTCTGTCAGATGACAGGGGCAGGCCAACATAATGCCTGAATCCTTACATTCCCACCTTTATTATTAAAAAGGTTAGCAGTTAGGTATGCCAGGTTGGGGAAAAAGGATGTCAAGTTCTCAAGACTACTTCCTGCTGACCTAGGGGGCATCGACCATCTTTGGGAGACCTGAGAAAGTTAGGGTGCTGCTACATCCTGGGGAAGCTGGTTGTTTCAAATGCTGTCTAGGCTGTATGGAACTCTCTGGCACCTCTTAGACCTAGCAAGATATTGGCAGAGCAGAGGACAAGGTTAAATTTAGGAAAAAAATTCTTAAGTCCTGGTACTTGATGGGAGAAGGAATGTAAGATGGGGGAGGTATTTCCGAGTGGTTCCAAAGATGAGGGGAGGGAGTCCCAGAACCAGGGAAAGGTTGAATGATATTTATCTGTAGTGAATCTGACCTGCTTGGGTGACTCCAATTCTTGGCTCCATGGAATTTATAAGAATCCTTTGAGTTTGTGAAAACATAGTTTTATTCACATTAGCATTTCTATTGTTTATGATCTGTACTGAAATTTGCATTGTAGAAATGGCAGTATATTCATGTCAGAAATGATTTGGCTGAAAGCATTAACACTCTTAAAACTGACAGATATCATTAGCACAATGAAAAGCACCTTAATTTTGAGCTTGCAGCTATTGTAAGGTGGTATAGAGTTGGATTAGAAGCTTATTAAAACTTTATTGATTAATGTTAAGAGAGAAAGAAATCTAATAACTTGCATTTGTACACCTTAAATTACTTTGTTATACCTTAAAACATTTTATGCTTAAGCTTTTATGTTCTTACATAATCTTTATAATCTTTATACTTTAAAACACCTTTTTAAACAAAGGAATGGTAAGAAGTTATGCTGAAGCCTACCAGCCATCAAACTGCATCAAAGTTCTTGAGAAGGGTAAAATTTTAGCTGAATTAATCATTAGAGAATGGCAGAGACTTACTAGCTAGTTTAGTGGGCAGCCACTCTATCATAACAATTACATAAAACCTTCAATGTACTCTTTTTAAAATAAGTAAGGCTAAAACAAACAAACAAAAATCTATTCAATATCATATCCAGAAAGATCAGTAATAATTTAAACACAAGGAAAGTAAAGTAAATAGATCTGTAATTAATTTTCTTTAATGAACTAAGAAATAAAACAATCCCATAATTAATAAGAATAGTCATGAGAAGTGACTCAGTGGGTAAAGGCTCTTACTGCCAAGCCTGGTGACCTGAGTTTGTTCCCTCGGAAGGAGAAAGCCAACTCCTGCAAGTTGACCTAACTGACACAGACACAGGCATGCAGACACACAGATACACTCACTCAAACACACACAAAAGTAACATATTAATTTGGGGGGATTGAGTTTTTTGTGACAGAGTTTCCTTGTATAGCCTTGGCCATTCTGGAACTAACTCTATAGACCAGATTGGCCTCAAACTCATAGAGATCTGCTTGCCTCTGCATCTGGAGTATTGGGATTAAAAGTGTGTGCCACCACTGCCTAGCACATATTGATTTTTAACTGAGAGTTTATTCTTTGAAAATACATTTGCTCCCTCTCAAAGAGTAAATCTTTAACATATATACTTAGTTGAGAAAGGGAGACAGAGAGAGAGGCTTCAAATAAAAGAACTAAAATTGGAAAACCAAAGGACATCTGAAGACTTTTGAAAATGAGAAAGTGCTAAAATGCAAAAATCTAATAATAAATTCTAATTTTAATTAAATCAAGCTAAACAGAAATAGAAAATAAAGAAGACATAATAAATTCCAAAGAATAGGCATCACACAATCATATATTATTTTCTGATTTTAGTCAATATATAGAAGTAAGTAGCAGAGAGCTTTAAAAATCCTCCTTGTTTTAAAATAGTTACTTAATAACCCTGGCAAAATAACTCAGTTATAAAGGAAACTAAAATAGAATGCAAACATAAATGATAAATTACAAATATATGACACACATCTGGAGAAAAATGACAGAGAAACAGACATTGTAAATTCACCATTACATCCAGAAAGAAAACTGAAAATATTTAGTTACTGTCTTTCTGAAGATAAACTCAAAGATATCAGTCTTCCATAAGTTGATCCATAAATTAAAACAATTCTAATCATGACTCTCAAAAAATTTAGTACAACATAAGAAATTATTCTATTATTTTATCTTTGTGCAAGCATTTTCCCTCTGTTACAATGGAGAAGGGCCTTGTTTGCCAACTATCAGAGAATGCTAAAACATTTCAACAACCTCAAAGATATGGAGTGTTTGACAATCTAAGCCATTGTGAAAATAACTCCCAAAAATCCTTCATCCTAAAATAAAATAAATGGTAGTCTTATTTCTGACCCAAACTCTCTAAATTTGAAGGGTTTTAATAGATAGCACCTGCACAGCGTGAAGGAGGGGGACATATCAAACACATAGAACTGCTGTTTCTCTCGAGGTGTCTCAGATGGGAGATGGGAATCATTTCGAATAATGCACCATTCCTCTTTGCTAAACTCTCATGTTTGGAGCAAAAACGTCGAAGGTTAAGGGTTGAAATAAGGGTCAATGATCCATGGAACACTCTCAAAAAGAAAAAAAAGATTAGCAATGGCTCTGACCTCCAACCATTTGCCAAAACTTGATTGGCTGAATTCTGGACATGTAAAAGAAAGCAGAGTTGTTCATTCGTTTATTAGTCTCATTGTGAAATGAGAGATTCATGGTTTGTGCAGTGGCACACTGGCAAGTTATTTGTACCCCTCCCATGATTGGTCTCCCTCTTGCCAATACTCCCATCTCAAAGCTGTTGGTCTCAATTTGTGTGCAATCAGGCTAGGTGCTCGCTGAACTCTAGCTGAATCGGCCATAGGAATTGTACGTACTATGTTAAAACATTGCTACAACTTGTAGACCAACTGAAGGTTAATTCCATTCACCTGCTGAAATGACAAGTCTGAAGCACTTCATCAATCAGGCTGTTTAGTCTCAGCTCCAGGGACGGCAAGGCAGGTGAAGTTTCCCCTCTATTCCTGCCTTCAAAAAAGAGAGAATTCATTCAGTAGAATAGTCACAGACCATTCAAGCAAGAGTTTATTTATCAAAACAAAGAAATACTGGCATAGGATGGATGGCCCAAGGAGATGGTAGCATCTCCTTTGGTACTACATTATGGGTTTTTCCCAAGTTTTCAAGATTATGTAGGCACAGATGGCAGATTCATGGGGCAAGGTGAGCCTTTCTACACTTGTCTCATGGTGGACTGGATCTGCTTTAGGGTAACTCCTTCCAAAGTCCTCATAAAAAGCCCATGGCGGGGTTGGGAGAAGCTCGAAACGATGCAAATGGTGTTAGAAGGGGAGTGGACCTTTTAAGGATGTAGACCCTTCTGTACTGGTGAGCAGGTGTGCCAGCTGGGAGAGTATCCTGGCACCACAGTTTCTGATGACAAGAATCTAACTGCAGCCTCAAGGATGTTAGCTACAAGGGGCATAATCACCTTTGCCTGGTACAGCTCCCAAAACACAGCTACTGTGGGTTTTCATGACTTTGAATCTAAGTCCTTGGCTTCCTGGTTTCCTTATGAACATTTGCATCTAGTCTCAGAACTTCCTGAGTTGTGAACTGACACACAAAACTAGTAGTTATTGCTGTTATCGAACCACAGTCATGAGGAAGCTCGGCTGTGAGATCCCCTGGAACCAGACATTCATGAACTTCAGTGTGGGTGCTGGGAATTGAACCTGGGTCCTGTGGAAGAGCAGAGGGCTTCGGAGCCATCTCTCTAGCCCCTAGATCTGGTTCTTATTGGCCTGTTCAACAGCAGCCCTGATGTTAAAACTAGTTACACAGCTCAAACAAGATAATAATCAAAATCCTCTGTCAATTGCTCAATGTTCCCCACATCACCATTTTTCAAAGGCACATGTTTTGCAAACAAGGATCCAATGGAATCTGTTTTGCAAATGTGAATCTTAACAACAAAGTATGCTCTCTACTCCAGACAAAGAATGAGTTTGGTAGCTGTGGTGGTTTGAAGGGAAATTGGCCCCCACAGGATCACTGAGAGTGGCACTATTAGCAGGCGTGGCCTTGTTGGAGGTTACGTGTCATAGGGGGTGGGTTTTGAGGTTTCAAATGCTCAAGTCAGGCCCAGTGGCTCTCTTTCTTCCTGCTACCTGAGGATCCAAAAGCAGAACTTTCAACTACTCTCCAGTACCATGTTTGCCTGCATGCTGCCATGCTTCAAGCCGGGGTGACAATGGACTAAACCTCTGAAGCTGTAAACCAGGCCAATTTAGTGTTTTCCTTTGTAAGAGTTCCCGTAGTCATGGTGTCTCTTCACAGCAATAAAGCCCAAACTAAGACAGCAGCCACTGACAAAGAGCAGGTAAGTGAGAAAGACAAATTCAGAATCCATGAAAGCTGGCATAGCTGTCAAGCAGAACTCTGCAGTGACAGCAGCAGTCAGGAGAACTCACATCCTACCTTCCTGGGGTCAGAGGTGCATCTGGCAGGGAGCTGCCTCCCTTCTGAGAGCACCAAGTTCCATGACCTAGCCACAAGTTTTGACTCTTCTAGTTCCTATTGATCCTCCCCTGGTTCAAATTCATTTCTTCTGCGAATCCCCATTTCCCCTTTCTGCTTTTGTGAATGATTTGCTTAGTAAATTATTCAGTAAAGCAAGCACAAATTATTCTGTTTCATCAATTTTACAACTGTCCAAGTGGATGGTTGAAAGAATTTCTCTTGGCACCTGCTCGCACTCACCTGGAGCCCCTGAGCAACAAGCCCTGCTTCGCTATGGATTGGACATGGAAGCAACCCCAGGGATCTGCTCAGCCGTGGCTAGCTGCCAGTGTTATTCCAGGATGCAGTAAAAAGGCCTTGTCAGTTACTCAGTGTCTTCTCTGGATGGTAAACACATACTAGCCGTCTGACCCACAAATAAATAAGGCTATGCCTCTGGTCCATTCTATGAAGTGTAAGGCTGAAAACACTGTCTTGCTCATGGGAACACTGAAGGAGTGAATGAGGAAATCGTGACAATGAACTTTGGTGTTTAATGAGTGGGAATGGCATATAAGTACATAAAAGCAAACACATTGCTCTATAATCATACATCAACAAAGAAAAATAAATAATTTTAGGTGAAAATGAACGTGTTAACTTTTTGTTGCAAGACAGTATTCCAAGTATGGTTGTCCTTGACCTGGGGTATTTCTTCTAGACAGCAAAGTACACTTGCTCCTGCTGCTGTCACCTTATTGATGGCGTTAAAACCTACCTTGTTGGAACCGAAAGCCCTGAACAGTTCTTTCTCCCCGATTATATCTCAGTTATTTCCTGCTTAATCTTCTTACTTCCTACCAGGAATGTCTCTACAGCTCTGTCACTAGACTTGACCGTGTCTAGTGGGAAGAGTGGTCCTGATCCAGAAAGGGTGGTTGTTGTGTAGGTGGAAGAGACAAAAATTGAAAACCTTTATGATCAACACTGGAAAGAGTAGAGAGAGGTTCGACCAGTAGCCGGAAAGAAGGAGGGGAGGATGTGGGAAGACAGACAGTAAAAACAGTCTCAGAACAAAGGCTCCCTGCCGATGCAGCCACTGCCGGACATCAATCCTCCATAACTACCGTTAGTAGGTTAACTACCGTTAGTAGGTTATTCCATTTGCCTCTTGCATCTGCTTCGAGGAGCTGATGGCTTTACTCTCACTTTGCAAGTTAAGAAAGTAAAGCATATGAAGGTTTTGGATTCTTGCCCAAAGCCAGGACAACACTAGATTTTGCATCTCAGTATTTCTGGGTCTAGAGTCTTAGCTTTACACCTCAGTATTCCAAAGATAAGGCCAACAGGTGTGGTCATGGAAATGTGTCTGAAGTCAGGCTGAGTAACTCTGCACCAGAGGTCAGCACATTGTTTTTGGTAGAATCACCAGGTAGTAACTGTCTTTTGAGGCCATGAGATCTCAGTCACAATTACTCACCCCGGCTCTCATAGCACAAAGGCAGCCGTTGGAATGGATGGGGCTGTATTCTAATAAAAACCTTGTTTATAAAAACAGGTGATGAGTCACGCTGAGCAACAGGAGGTGGGTTCGCCAAGCACTGTTCTAGTGACTGATTTCCCAATCAGCCTTGCTTTCTTCAGACCACACAGACATCTCTACTTCCAACCCAACTCTCAAACAAAAAGGGGTTGGGGAGAGGGGGATCCAGGTGGTGTGTGTTTCCTTGGTATTTAACTAAGTCAGGCAGAGGGAAATGTATGCTAACATTTAGTTTCTTCCCTCCTTCCTTCTTGCTCCCCAAGTGAACAAAAGCAAGATGATAAATGTATGATAGCATAAAAAGTTTAGAACCTGGAAGATAAGTTCTCGATTTAAAATAAAATGTACTACGAAGTGAGGGAGGAAGGTGAGCTGCTCCGAGAGCCACTACAGTGGCCTGGTCAGTAGCTAGCTCTGTGATACCATGGGTGACTTTAGACTTAGGCCTCCTTGCTCCTGCTACAAGTCGTGAAAGGAAAGGCTAGACTAGCTAACAGACTTCTCTCTGGAGGCCCAGCCCCAGCCATATCCCCTTCACTTATGGCCTGTCTGTCCCGAGTAAGCATTCACACAGCTGCACTAATGACTTTGGACATGCCATTAGTGTAAGGATTCAGGCATTATGCTGGCCTGCCCCTGTCACCTCGAAGAATGTACTCAGGCAGTACCCTGGTCAACTCAGGTGCAAAGGACCCTTTAAAAAGAAAGATCCCAGCCCTCTCTCCCCCCTCCCCCTCCTGCCGTTCCACTTCTCCTCTGTCCTCTTTCTGCCTCTATGTCTCTGTATATCTGTTTCTTTACCTCTTTTCTGCCCCACCCCCACCCCCACCCCGGCTTCTCCCCGGCCCGCCCTTCCCTTTCTGATAAAACTTCTCACTTAAGCTCTGTCTGCCTGGCATGTTTGTTCCCCGCCTTGGTCACCCTCGCCTGCAGTGGAATCCGCCAAGATTCCTGACGTTTTCTTCCTAACAATCAGCTTCTTCAAAATGTAGACTAGAGCGCAACGTGTGGGCAGAGACTTCCATTTGCCCGCTCCATCTCTGGGTGTGCCTGCTGTGCCCCCGGGTGCCCTGGGTGTTCCCACAAGGCCTTCTAGTCTCATTGCCTTCACCAGCCTCAGGGCTCTGAGAACCTCACCTCACCTGTCCCAGATCTTGTTCCTTAGTCACGCGCATGGCGCTGATGATTACTTGGATCTGGCCGAACCTTCAGCAACCCCTCAGCCTTACTTTCCTTTAACCAGTGAGATGCTGAGGTCCGGGAAGGAGAGATTTACAAGGGCCACAGTGCTGGATAGTTTTATGTCAACTTGACACAACTAAAGTCATCTGAGAAGAGAGCCCCAATCAAGAAAATGAAGGTAGTGAGGAGTAGGCTGATGTGGGTGGCCTGCTTGCCACCTGGAGCCATGGTGACACCCGGGCCAGGGCTACTGCCAAGGGCCGTGTCTGGGTCTGTGTCCACATAGCAGCCAGGGTCCTGGTTGATGTCCGTGACTCTGGCTATCACTAAGGGTAGTGTGGATGGCCCAGGTCAGGTCAGCCACATGAGTCCATGTTAGTGTTCAAGGGCCATGCTACAGTCGGGGTCACACAGACCTGAGTCGTCTGAGCTGCTGTCCGATGCCATAATGACATCTGGGCTAGAGCGTCAGCTGAGGGCCATGTCTGCGTCTGAGGCCCTGCTGTAGCCAGGGTCTGTGTTGACATCCGAGGCTCCTGTTACCACGAAAAGCTATGCAGATGCCTGAGGTCTGGGGCCATGTTAGTGTCTAAGGGCCACCCTGCCCCTAGGGCCATGAAGATCTGAGGGGCCTGCACTGACAGCAGCTGGGGCAATGGTGACATCCAAACGTGGCTGCTGCAGAGGACCCTGTCTGAGTCTGTGATCCTACCACAGCTGGGGTCTGTGTTGAAGTCCAAGGCCCGTGTTTCCACCAAAGATCATATGGAAGCCCAGAGTCGGGGCCACTACCTGTAGCCTTGATGGTGTCTGGGGGCTATGGAGCTCCCAGAGCCATTCTGGACTGAGTGGCCAGAGCTTCTATCTGGAGCTAGGATATCATTCAGGTTGGAGCTGCTGGGTCATGCCTGGGTCCATGGTCCAGCTACACCTGGGGCCTGTGTCACCTCAGGGAGCCCTAGGAACCATGTGTGATGAAATCAGCCACATCCCTCATCACAGCCAAGGGAGAACTGATCCTGTGATGTGGGTGTAGAGGAGCTGGCTCCACCCCCTCCCCTGAGGCAGGCTGCTGCACTGGCCTGAGATAATCTACCCAGGCTACAGCTTTGCCCTGCTATAACCTGGGCAGGCTGCCCACAGCTGGGCCTTGGGTGGATCCACCGTAGCATCTACCCCATCTAGGTCCTGCTAGGACGTAAAGGGACTGGTCCTGTGGAACAATACCCACAGGACCTCCATAATTAGGGGTGGCCTCAGGATATCCCAGAGGAATTTTGGTGAGGATCCAGTGATGATGGTATACCAGAAAAAAAAGAGGCCTTGAACCAGACCAGTGACTCATTGTAATGCACCTTTGCAAGTGAAGCTGATTGGACAAAAGGATGTACTCTGTGACACACCACAGCTCCCATAGCCACCAGGACCAATGAAAATGTGTTGGAGAGGTAGGAAAGATGGACGAGTGAAAAGGGGTTTTTTTCCTCTTTGTATGGATTTTTTTATTTTCTTTTGAGGGGCACTACAGGGGTGAGGGGAGGATATGGAAGGACTGGAAAGTGAGAAGAACTGGGGTGCATGATATGAAATTCTCAAAAGATCTATGGGAAACGTATGTTAAATTAAAAATAATAATAATAGAAAAAGTTTTTTTAAATGCTTCTATAATATTAGGCTGTAGGCAAGCCTAAATGATATTTTCTTAATTAGTGATTGATGGGGGAGGGCCCAGCCCATTGTGCCTAGGGCCATCCCTGGGCTGATGGTCCTGGGTTCTATAAGAAAGGAGCCTAAACAAACCATGAAGAGCAAGCCAATAAGCAGCACTCCTCCATGGCCTCTGCAGCAGCTCCTGCCTCCAGGTTCCTGCCCTGTTTGAGTTCCTGTCCTGAATTCCTTTGTTAATGAACAGTGATATGGAAGACTGGGGAAAATAAACACTTTCTTCCCCAAGTTGCCTTGGTCACTGTGTTTCTACCCTAACTACGTCAGCCACTCAGATAATATGCAACTGAGTCACTGGTGGAAGAGAGATCCTCCCCTGACATCAAGCGCTCGCTGGTGGGCTTTCTATAGCCAAGCACTGGCTTTCAAATTCTGTGTGTATACTGTATGCACTTTGAAGGATGTTTTTCCTAAAGGAGTTCCATGAAATCCTCTTAAATTGCTTTTCCTACTAGAATAAACCAATAATTAATGCGGCCGTCTTTGTTATCTAGGGGAAAGTGGGGCAAAGTCTCAGGGAGAGAAAACATTACTGCATCAGATCCCACTTCTGCCACTCTGCTCTGCCTACGTCTGTATACTGACAGCAGCAACCTGCTGCCCTGTAGAGTTTAGACAAACCCAAACCCAAACCTGTGTTTTCAGTAAATGATGAACGTCTGGAGTCCAGCTGGTAGCGATGGGAAGGAAGACAGTGGACGCCTAAGTAAGCAGCTGAAAGCAGTTGGTCAGCAGAGGATGTGCTTTGGGGTTAAACGCGTTAGTCCCGCCCATCTCTCTGCTTCCTGACTACGGGGAGGTGAACAGCCACCCTCCTCTGGCAGCCATGCCATGATATTCAGCCTCACTGTGAGCCAGAATCCATGGAGGCAAGGGCTATAAAATAACACTCTCAAAGCAAAAGCCAAAATAAATCCTTCCTCATTTAAGTCGGGTGTGCCAGGTGTCACATCAGAGCCATGAGACAAACACAGGTCAGAGACACGAGACAAAAGACCAGTACCTCTGACCAGTTCCCTCTAGTTTGTCAATGTCTAAGAAAATACCGCAGCTAAGGAGACACTAAAGCAATGTGATTACTAAATACAATGTATTCTAGATAGGATATTGCAGCAGACAGGGAATATTAAATAAAAATGGAGGATGTCTGAGTGTTTTGTAGACTATAGATAGTTAATAATAACAGATTGCTAAGAGTTTATTAGCTGTCAGGTATACCATGCTAAATTTATAAGTTAATAAGACAAAGAAATGTTGAGTACATATAAATAAAATTAAAATATTTCATGTAAGAATATATATGAGGGGAAGGAGATATCATAAGCAAATTGGAGTGTTGGTCTAGACCAGTGGTTCTCAATCTTCCTAATGATGTGACTATTTAATACAATTCCTCAAGTTGCCCTAATGTCCAACCATAAAATTATTTCCGTTGCAACCTCATAACTGTATTTTGCTACTGTTGTGAACTGTAATGTAAATATCTGTGATTTCCGATGGTCTTGGGAGGCCACTATAAAAAGGTCCTTCAGCTCCCAAGGGGGTAGTGGCCCACAGGTTGAGAACCTGTGGTACAGGAGAACATAGCACTATGAGTGACTGAAACAAGGAAGAAAGACGTAGGACTAACTGATCTGTCAGGAATGGGAAATACAGAGCCTTAGCCCCCAAACATCTTTTTAAATGAAAAGAAAACTCTGAATTTTAAGAGGGTTCACAAAGTTTTCATTTGTTTTTCACATGAGAAAAAGGAAATGTAATGTTTCAGGACCATAAACTTGCTTTGTGGTGGGAGGTGTCCACAGAGGCAAAAGTGGCTAAGACCCCAGAATCACAGTGTGTTCTTCAGGACTCATTAAAATGGCAGCAGTCAATTCACTGGGGATGTGCCATAAACCAGGACAATAATGTGCTTCAGACTGAGAATGAGGAACTCAACCCTCTGTCCCCGAGGCAAGAAATCAAACTCACTGACCGAGAACCTGTACACAACTGAAAAGAAGCCTGAAAAAAAAAAAAAAAGAATGTTCTCCCATGAAGAGAAAAGAACATGAGGAACGGGTCTGGGTGGCCAATCTTCCTGGACATGCAGCCACAGCTCTTGTGGGGACACTAAGCAAACAGTAAGAGCCTGGGTGATAATTCACTACACATAACCAGACTTGAGGAAGTGAGATACCACATGGGTTTAGTGCATTTATATAGGACCCAGAAGTTGCCACTTTAAAGAAGATCCCTGAGTTGGACATGGTGTCTCATAATGTAGAGGCAGAAGCAGGAGGCAATGCGTTAGTTCAAAGCCAGCTTGGGCTGTATTGCAGGTTTATGTCATTGTTATAAAGAGAGAGACCCTGCCCAAAAATATTTAAAAGAAAAAAGGAAAGGAGAGAGAAAGGGAGGGACAGAGGAGGAAGGGATCCCCAGAAGATTGAAATTTGGTTGGAAATATGCCACTGAAATATTTCAAAAAGCAACAATGCGAGTTCATAAAAATCTGTAGGATTTAGCACCTGGAGTCTTCTGTGGTGTCATGACCACCCTCTTGGCAGCGAAGAGTCCAACACAAACCAGGTAG